TTCATTTAAAGAGGTTCCATTCTTTTCAAGAAGGCTTCAGGGTGTCCAGTAATGACAGCCAACACCAGGATCGTCTCCTAAAGAAGATGTAGCTCTGGGGTCAGAGTGCCACCAGTGCAGAGCTTGCTCGGGAATGGCAACAGGCCAGAGTACATCTGCACGCACAGTGAGGCGAAGACATTTGAAGAATGGCCTGGTGTCAAGAAGGGTAGCAAAGAAGCCACCTCTCTCTATAACCATGAGGGACAGATGGATCTTCTGCAGAAAGTCTGAAAGGACTGCTGAGGGCTGGAGCAAAGTCACATTCTCCCATAAAGCCTCTTTCCGATTGTTTGGGGAATCTGGATAAAGGCTTGTCCGGAGAAGAACAGGTGAGCGCTCCCATCAGTCCTGTGACTCTACCCTCTGTGACATAGAATGTATTAATCTGTTACTCTCAAAATATATTGATTGTTGAACTATACTGTGCAATCCATTTGAATTTAATTCATAAGAGCCATTACTACCTTCTCGATCACTTTTAGACAACAGCTCAGAATCTAGTAAAACACAAACACAAATTATCAAAAGTATTAGATAATATCAACACACCATGTCCCTTATTCCGTCAATGTCCCGCTCCAAACCCAGACTCCAAAAGTCGAAGCGGGTCAGGATGGTTGTATTCACTATTGCAAGATGCTGAGTGGGACTGTTGTTCTCATCCAAGACCTGTGACAGCTAGTGGAAGAAACTAAATCTGTAAACATGAATGTGATTATATAATTGACAGTCAGACAACCACAGAGGTACAGGAAAATACTTACAGTTGTTCCTGACTGGTTTGGAATTTCTGTCCCCAGCATGTTCTGTTTGCTAACAAACCATGAAGACTGGAGAAGTCTCCATCAGGTTTCTGCTCAATGTCATCATTTGCTGGTGAAAAAAAGCAATTACAGAAGCAAACATTTGTGAACTGTCACAGTTCTCCTTTGAATGATGAGAGAAATTACTCACACTCCTGTCCCTTTGTGTGTTCTTTGCCAGATGACCCTGTTCTCATTCCAGCTGATGGGGAATTGGCTTTAGAAAGTAAAGTTACATATATTATTGTCCAACTTCGATGAAGACAATAAACGTGCATAAGCGTGCATAATATACCTAAGACTACCCTTCCATGGCTGTCACACTGCATGGCAACATCTGGAGGAACAATCTTGCTGTATTGTTTTTTCTGTTTTTGTTTTTTTGCCATGTTGTAACGATGAAGCAAATTTCTTTGTAGAAAATGTGTGTTGATGGGGTGGTCAGATTCAAGAAGTAATTATTCTTTCTCATCCCTGAGAACAGCTGCTCCACACACTGGCTGTTAATGAGACCAGTAAGCTCAGGTACAAGTTCCAGCTTTCTCAGAACCTCCCTCTGGTCTTTGCTGTTACCCTGATGGAACACATCATTCAGAGCAAAATGCTGTGAGGATCCAGTGAGAGGATGACCTTCTTTGTCAGCTGGCATCTTAGGAAATCTTAGCCAAGGCATGTTGACATGAACTTTGCCCTCTGAGGCCTGCTCAATATTCTCTGGGGTGGGAGCCAATAACCTTCCTTGAAAAGGGTCAAAGATTCCTGGCTGCCTGCAGTTGGCATGCAGTGCCAGTCCCCTGGCATAATCGTACACGGACACGTTGGGAAAGTGTTTCCAGGAAAGCAAGAGATCCACAAAGTCATGTGGACTCTCTGCTCTAAGGTTGAATTTCACAGAATACACAACCCCACATGGACAGGTGATAACTGCCCAACCGCCTGTGAATTAACAGGAAAAAAACTAACATGAGCAGTATGTATAGCTCAACCTACACACACATAGCTAACAACATATAACAAAGTGGTAACTTCTACATTCCATGTAATTTCACTTACCAGAGGCACCCCACACCTTCTCAAACACCTTGTTGTAGGTGACTCTGTTGGACATCCTCTCAGACAACCTGATGACAAGGTCCACTTTGGACCCTTTGTCGTCGTTTGCACAGTGCTCTGACCTGATGTACCTGATTTGAAAATGTAGTGAACTTGAGATTAAAAATAAAGCATGAACTTAATTTTGTAAGCACAAATAGGTGAGATATCTTATCAATTACTTCACCTTCAAATTCACAAGCTCATCTGTGAGGCGCTCCACAGTAATTTCATTATCGCCATCATCATCATTCTTATCACTTTCCATTTTGGGGCCTTGCATTTTTTCAAATTCTGTGTTCAACACTGAATTTGAGCTCCGGGTGTGTGGGCCAATCCAGGGGGCCCAGTGATGGTAACTCGGGGGCACAACAAAAGGGTTCTTCCAACCACCTTTTTTAACATGTGTGATAAGTATAAGCTAGTATTATCACATAATTTGACACATAATATATTATAAATCCAACTGTTCTGTTTATGGTTCTGTCTTTTGACAAGACTTACATTTAATTAATCCATGACTGATAATTTCTGTGGCCACAGCATCCCAGAAGTTGTTAATGTCCACATGACCATTATAATCATCAGGTGGACTAGGGATTTCACTCACTGTTAAAACACGTTTGCTATTCAGAGCTCAGTTACTAAATCCCCTCATAACACAGATAATGAAGTGCTACTCGTATGGTTGGCATGACGTTTCGCATTCTACAATTCTGAGAGAGATCAGCTGCTCTACAAAAAATTAAGTTAAAATATGTAAAATAACAGCCTATCAAACACACCTGGCATACTAAAAACACCTTTCTTGTGAAGATCCATCACAACAACGGCTGGGCTGTATCCACATGACACACAACTGTAGGTGTATTCATGGTTGGTCAGGGCTTCAAAATGAAGGTAAGCCTGGAGAACTCTCTCCTTGTTTGGAAAGGCCACCTTTTCTGTGGTTTTGATTATTTATCACTTTGCTGACAGCTGTATGGGTCTAAATAATTATGAGAAACAAGAATATTCCAATGTTATAGAATTTCGAAATGAAGGTTCTATTTTTTGTTCCAATCATCATTTGTTTAAACAGTAATGATCTATATTGAATACATTAGACAAATGGAAGAATAAACATTAATCCTTTGATGCATGAATTATGAAATCTTCACCCATTATTTTTTTAACAATTTTTTTTCATTCGTCTTTAGGTGTGAATGAAACAAATTTCAACAAATATTTTTTGTAAAATTTTATAGTTTACAAATAGTTTATTACATGTCCACCTCAGTGGACAGCGTGCATTCTGAGCATGAAATATGTTGGCTTGGCTTACTGAAGTCCAAATGGAGGGGTTCACATGCAATAAAGTCTTCAACAGCTGTGCTTAATAGCAAAAACAAATAAATAACAATTTTGAGTACCTGTCCACCGTAGTGACCATTATGCATCAAAGGGTTAAGAAATACATATTGATGTTATTTATTACTTTCAAAAGTTCAGAGATTGGGCCTCTAAAAATAGTAGATAAAGAAACTAGAATTTATCACAAAATCTAGAAAACCAATTAACCTTTCAGCGAGCACATTATTGTATTACATTTGCTCACCTGAAGTGCATTCCTGACCATCAGGCAAACGTGCAGAGACAGGAAGATGTGGTCATCGAAATTGTGGATACCATCCTCCCATTCCTGGTATCTGTAAACCATGCCACAGTTTAGGCATGATTTCCTGTATGTTGATATTCCTAAAAACACAGTCAAAACAAAGATCACGTTAAGTGCTTGCATGTCATTTGAGATCAGTAGAACCATTTACCTTAATGTACTTTAATGTACATGTAAATTAATTTACCCATTTACTAATAAGAAAATAGCATCATAGAAAGGATTATGATGGTACCAACCTTCAACAACACCTGTGCTTGTAAGGATCTTGCCTATTGATGTTATCAGTTGTTCGGAAAGTATGTTTTCACATTCTGTACACTTTGTTTCTTTAGGGACAAGGTGCTTCGGAAAGGTGTCCTTTGTTTGTCCATCTCTCGACTGCTCTATGAGAGCCTGGGGCAAATCTGCTGGGAGCTTTTTGTTGGTGAGGAGGTAATCAAGCATCCTTGCAATGTGTTTGTCATCTGGTGGATACCCGTCCTCTTCAGACTCACTTGCATTTTCATCTGCAGTGGTCTGGGATGGATTGGGTACCTCTGCCTCTGTGCTCTTCACCTTCCTAAATAGTTCCCTCTTAGTGACGAACAGATGCCACTTAGCGACAGCTTTGTGCATGCATGACTGTCTCTGTTTAGCACAAGGCCAATGCCAGTTGTTTTGTTTTGCGTCATATGACACAGTCACTCTTCCCAACCTGCTATAGTATGTAATTTTTTTTTCATAAACAGATATATGAAATTTGGATTGTGGGCCACCCACAGTCAGCTGCACTGACAGAGGCACAACCTCTGCATCAGCATTTTCTTGCAAATGCAAGAGGTTGGCTTCACGCTCCTTGCCAAACCATTTATTTTTTACCATTGTTTCCAAGGCCTCAGCAGTTAGTGTCATGGTTTGACAGTCTATGCGTGAGCAGTACAATAGAGATTGTATGTGGTGGCACTCGAATGGCAACATCCTGCTCCTTCGAGCAAAGTCAGCGTTCAGATGACATTGGTCAACCTCACACATGATCTTCTGTATTGGCCCCCAAGTATTTTTAATAACATGTATGGGTGTTGCTGGACCACAAAAAGATTTCTCAACTGCAAAGACCCCATGTTTACTATCAAAGCACTGACAGGTAAAAAAATCTGTCCTTTGACACAGTCTCAAAGTGGTGGGAATGCTTTCTCGTTCAGTGTCTTTTAAAGTTTTTTTTTGTTTAATTTCATCTTGCAATGAGGACATGTTAATTGGTTTTGTGCTTGATGCCGAGCTGGGGTCGCTGGATGCCTGGCTGGGGGCTCTGGATGCCTGGCTGGGGGCTCTGGATGCCTGGCTGGGGGCTCTGGATGTTCACCTGGGGGCTCTGGATGGGGCTCCTCCTCTTGGTGAATTTCTAAATGTTGAAGCAGCTGCATTCTATTTATAATTGTTGCTGTGCAATAGCAGCAGTGAAAATGTTTTGCCTTCGACAATTCAACCCACACTTGATTATTGTAAATCCTGTAAGAGCAGAATGAAGGAAACAAGATTCACACTTGTAAAAAAAAATAGTAAATTCATTAACTAATTTGTGTAATTTGTAAGATAGGCACCTTTGTGTTTAACTGAAGAATGGCCGTTGAGGTTATTCAGCCTTTGCTTTGACACCCTTGTGTTGACAAAATGGACACTGGAAACATTCACCATCAGTGCATTTTGTAATGAGTAGACTTGTATCACCATCAACGAGAATGCTGATGTGTCTCTATATATCAAAGGGGAAAACAATAGACATAAAAGCCCCATCAATAGAAATTCACAAGAAACAATGTATTACATAACATATGAAATACATTTTTCATTTTACCAACAACATTTCATGTCATGAATACTTACATGTACTATCGCAACAAGACCAACATCAATGTCCGACACATTACTCAGATGTAAGCTTTCAGAATCTCTAATCCAGTGTTTTTCATCCCTGGTCCTCAAGGCACACTATCCTGCATTTTTCAGGGGTTCCCTGCTTCAGCACAGCTGATTTCAATTGATGGCTGATGAACAAGCTTTTGCTTCACTGCAATCATCTCAATACGGTCTGCTATATCACAGAAACTCCAAAAACATGCAGGGCAGTGTGCCTTGAGGACCAGGGTTGAAAAACACTCCTCTAATTATTATGAATGGCACCTTTTTAAGTCTGCTTAAGTCATATCATTTACTAATTAGTTGCTAGTTAGGAAAATTGCCTTTACACCATTCTTTCCTTATTCTATATTTAGCATGTAACAAAGATTAAAAAACAAAACTAACATTTTCCCTGTGTAATGTATAGTATTTCTCCCTCAACAGTAGATCGTGCCAGATATTAATATTGTTCTAAAACTCGATAAAGGAGCTTTAAGTCAAGGTTTATATGATTACACATATCAGATTAGCACTCTAACCATAATAATAAAGCCCATCTGGGGTAGAACCCAGATATGAACATAAAAAGCTTAAAAAACTAACATTTCCCCCTTTAAAATATATTTTCCACACAACATATCTCCCCAAAGCTATAAAAGTGTTCCTACAGGTTTCTTCAACTTAAATTTAAGTCTGTTTAAGATCTTTCTAAAGCCATATAGAAAATTAATACCTATTTGGCACTATCAGCTAAAAATAAATCAAATTAAATTATTGAACTGGTTTTCATTTATTTATCTATATATCTTTACCAATATATTTTGACAAAACACTGGGTGGGCACTTGGTAGAAGATCGGTTATATTTTTAAACACAGGGTTAAAAATATAACCGGATCCATCTGGTTTGACATTAGAACCTTAACAATAATTTTTGTTGCCTATATTTTTTAGTTTAATTTTAAGAAGGTTTTTTTATTGTTAATTTTATGACCCTAATTTATTTCTTGCAGTATTTCTATTGTATAAAAGCAACAGTGCAAACAGTATAGACACAGAATTGAAATAAATGTTTTAAAATAGCCTTTATTAATATTAATGCTTCTCTTCATGTCATCACTTGTTTGGAATATTTTGATGAACTTCAGAAGACAAATGCAGTACAGAAAATTTACATCCAACACAAATTTTAAGACCCAGATGCCAAAATTGAAGGGTTTCTCCAGTCTTTTAAAGGTATTACTTTCAAATTCATAAATTCGATGCTTTTAAGACTCCGCGGGAACCCTGTAAACATTTCTCCTCAAAAGTAAGTCGCCCTGCATATGTAAAATAGGCTATATGTATTATCTAAAACTCATAATCGGGAACTTGGGACTCTGAAACTCGGGAACTTGGGACTCTGAAACTCGGGAACTTGGGACACTGAAACTCGACAGCAGCAGGCGCGGGACACTGGAACTCAGGTGCGGGACCCTGAAGAGGCTTCAGCATGGAGGACCTGCAGGCGTAGGCCCCGCAGGCGTGGACCAGGAAGTTGATGTGATGAACTGAAGGCAGCAACGCGAGGAAACCAGGAATGGCGGCAGGTACTCGACAACAGTCTGAGCAGGTGCACATCACGATCAGCTGGGTCACAGGCGGAGGCTTGGGTGAAGGGAAGCAGAAAAGGAGCAGGGAGATCAGCCCTACCACGCCGGAGAATGTTGGCGTGCGTAGGGGGTGTCACTCCACCAAAACTCCAATATCTGCAGCTTCCGTGGAAAAACAGGACGGGGCAAAAAGCAGGAGAGGAGAATGGGTTCGACCACCCCGGGAACAGGTAGGATGCGCCGAAACCCCTCGAGTTGGAATCTCCTTCCGCTGAACGGAGAAAAAGCAAAAAAATTAATCCTCCAGGGAGATGTTTCAGAGCTCACCACAGGTCCAGGTTGGTCGGATCATTCTGTCATGTGTGGAGTGGGTGGCGGCAGACCATGTGTGGTAGAGCAGATCAGGAGGCAGGAATGCAGGCACGGATAATAAAAAAAAAGTAGATTTATTGGCAGGATACGGCAGGAAACAACAAGGCACAACAAACAAACAATGATCCGACACCAACACATACAAGACAGGAGGTATAAATACACAGGGGAAAATCAGGAACAAATGGGCAGGTTAACAAGGGGCAGGTGAGACCAATAAAACTAATCAGGAGGCAGGGGAGAGTCACAGTCAGAGGGAGGCAGGAGCAGATCATGACAGAGAGGGTTAAAAGAATCAGCTGCTATATCTCCACATGCGTCCTCCATAGCTTGGAGAAGAGGTATACGCGTTTGTGGCTTTCGATCATACACCTTCCATCTCCAGGTAGAAAAAAATTCCTCAATGGGATTGAGGAATGGAGAATATGGAGGGAGTCAAACTAAAAAGCATGGGTGGTCAGTGAACCAGTTACGAACCACAGCAGTTCTGTGGAAACTTCCGTTGTCCCAAATGACAACGTACCTGAGATGTTCTGGGCCATCTACCTGATCTGGTGGAATGAGTATGTTGTGTGGGGTGTCCAGGAATGTGATCAGATGGGCAGAGTTGTAGGGGCCAAGGGTAGCATGGTGATGGATGACGCTGTGGTGGGTAAGCGCTGCACACATTGTGATGTTCCCTCCATGCTGGCCAGGGACTACAACAACAGCATGCTGGCCAATTACATTCCTTCCCCTATTTCATCTTTGTGTGAGGTTGAATCCAACCTCATCAATGAAGATGAACTGGTGCTCCACTGCAGCCGCCTCTAGCTCAAGGACTCTCTGAAACACACATGACAACATCAGAAATAAACATGGAGTGGTCACTATTGTGAAGCACAATCATAATGATAACAATATTGAAATAACTCTAATTTACTGTACACAGTGTTGAGAGTATGCATCAATTGTGGGACTCACTTGCACAGTTATATTGCAAATCTTTGACTCTCTGAATGAAAGCTTCATCCTAAGATGATTTCTGTGCAAGACACGGTCCAGTGTTGATAAGCTTACCCCATTAATATTTAGAAACATGTCATTGTTTTCTATTATTGCACTTGCTGTAATGTTGTGGCGTTGTTTTCTAGGACCATGTTCATGATTTCAGTTTCCTGTTCAGGAGACAGAAGACGTTCCCAACCACCTCGTGTTGGTAATCTTTCAGTTCTGCCAAACAAATAGTAAAATACTGAGAATACAAATGGTAAAATGGTAAATGGCCTGTATTTGATATAGCGCCTTCTAGAGTCCTGTAACCCCTCAAGGTGCTTTACAACACAATCAGTCATTCACCCATTCACACACACATTCACACACTGGTGGGGATGAGCTACGATGTAGCCACAGCTGCCCTGGGGCGCACTGACAGAGGCGAGGCTGCCGAGCACTGGCGCCACCGGTCCCTCCGACCACCACCAGCAGGTAATGTGGGTTAAGTGTCTTGCTCAAGGACACAACGACAGCGACAGACTGGTATACATTTCCTAAATACTTGAAACATACATTACAGCATTTTTACTGTCCTACAAAACAGTCCACAGGCAATAAACTATACTCATTGAGTACTGATTGTATTGATATGCAGTACTGCAATAGTGAGAGAAGATTTATTACCTATTCTCATTTCGGAAAGTCCGTATGATGGATGCTACAGTGTGCCTGCTGTAATTTGGCCGTTGTCTTTGCCCAGCCTCCCTCATTGTAAGACCATGGTTGACCACATGATCAACCAAAGTGGCTCGGATTTCATCAGAGATTAAGGTCCTTGGCCTTCCTAGTCCTTGTCCTCGTTCTCATCCTCGTCCCCGTCCCCGTCCTCCTCCTCCTCCTCTTACTCACTCCTCTGGCTCTGCCTCTGTTTCCAATGTTGGCAACCATCGTTCCAAAACAGAAGAGCTCACCTGTTGCCCTTTTATGCTACAGCTCTGATTGCTGATAGTAGAACTGTGAGGCGGGTGTTTGCCCTTGTGGTGAGTCAGTGTGAATATTTGAATAGCAGTGTGTTCCTTGTGAAAACAAAAATGTTTTCTGCATGAAAATTGTGTCAAAAGCAGATAATTGTGTGTTGTGTTTTAGAACTGCAATTTGAGTGTTAAACAGGAACTGTGCATGTAGTTTAGTGGAATGGGTTCAGGAGGTTGGTGAATGTGTTACATGTTGTGGTCATGGTGTCTCAAGTACCAGAATTTGTGTGTAAACCATTGAGACAAACTGTAAAAACACTGCTGCCTTTTGCCAGCCAGTGTCGAATAATGCCATCACGGCAGAGTTAGCAGACTCGGAAACCCTGAGGCTTCACAGATTGTGAACAGTAACAATGCCCTCTTTTGTTTTATTTTTATTTTTTTTGTTTTTTTTTTAAAGAATGACATTTGTAGGGGTAACAGTGGCAGAGGAGTTTAGCGGAGATGGGAATTAAAGCATCAGCAAGTCATCCCCATGTCGTGTTTTTGTTCTGCTCAGCAACTGAACCAGGTTCATTCACTGTGCTGACTGAAATCACTTGCTGAGCTGAAGAAAAACACGGCATGGAGATGATTTGTTGATGCCATCTCTGGAGTTTAGTGTCCGCTCCATAAATGGAGGGCTGCAGGGATTGGTGACACAAGTGTACAGCAGCCTTTCTTCTGTCAGTGTGCCCCTGGACAGCTGTGGTTATATTGTAGCTCATCACCACCAGGGTGTGAAAGTGTGTGTGCATGGGTGAATGAATGATTGTTTTGAAAAGTGCCTTGAGGGTTGCTAGGACTCTAGAAGGCGCTATATCAAATACAGGCCATTTAACTTCCTTCCAACACGATTGAGACCTTAGACTGTTTTGTGATAATTTCACTGTAAAATTCTTATGTATTGTAACTTTACAGTTAAACTATGATACTTTTAAACCTTGTGACAGAGAGAATTCACAGAGCAACACAACTAACAAGCCGGTATCAGACCTGTGTCCTGCTTGTATCTGAACACCTGTCTGTTGTTTATCTGTTTATCTGCCACACAGCCCCGCCTCCTCGCTGTCTGTCAAACACTCTGTGATACTTATAAGACCAATCAGACTCAACTAAGCTTCTGTTTTATCAACAAGTCATTTTCCAGCTGGAGGACAGCA